TTCATCTTGCATCCTCAGCAGGACGATCCAATAAAAGTAGTCGCTTAATTTTTACCAAAAACGGCTTTTATGCCCTAACAGAAAAGCACATTCTGCTGATATGAACGGGAGTTAATGGCTCATGCACGCAAACTTGTGAAACGACAAATTGGATAAAGATCACGTAAATGGCAAAGAGTCTCATTGCTTATTGGTTCTGCACAACAATCTACTCAATGCAGCCGATTACCTTCAAATAAAATGGGCAAATATCAATTTTGCTTTGTTTTTTACCGACAAAATAGAGGCACCTTTAAGCGATATGTACAAGAGCCGACCTCCCACACACTCCCTAGACACATGCACGCTAATTCGGAAGAGCACAATTTGGACAAAGATCACATTTTGCACCTTGGCTGAGGTAAACCACAACGTTTGTATACAATATCTCTATTCCAGAAAGGTCAGCTTGTCACGACAAGCGCGCAGTCAGGACGAGCTGAACAAACAGTTCAACGGATCTGTCGCTCAGTCTTCTGTCCCCTTTGGCCATCAAGACACCAATGGTCACGTGCTGACCAGACCAATTCAGCACCAGCACGACAACCCAACTCCGATTCGCGGTTCCACTTCTGCCAACGGCCCAAACCATACACAAAGTGGGCCTTCATGTCGTGACAACCAAATGCCGGCCTCGGGCAGACTGTCGGGAGTAGGGAGGGCGCTTGTACCATCCGGTGCTCGCAGCAAGGCTGACGTCAGATCTGACGACGTAAGAATTGATGCGACGCAAGAAGGTGAATTCCGGTTACGGAGAAAAAATAGCATTCGTAAGTCAATTTTAGACGGCTTAGCAAAGATTGGTGAGGAAATGAAATGATGCACTAAATGGCTCATCCAGTGTCAGAGCATGACAATAAATTGAAACGTAAATATACATCTTTACATAAATATATATAAATATATATATATAATATAAATAAAATAAATATAATGCAGCATAGCTGAAATTAATTATGTATATATTTTGTATGATGTGCTAGGAGGCATAGCAACAAAACAGAAGAATCTATGCGAAGAGAAGTTGGGTTTCGAGAAAG